GGGAATGCCGGGATCGGGCCCGGGAATGCCGGGATCGGGGGGCAGGGAATGCCGGGCCCGGCCCCCCCAGCCCTTCCTCGCCCCCACCTGCCCGGTCCCAGGGCGCGCGCCGGCCCGAGGCGCAGCCCCGCGGGGCAGGAATGGGTGTCCCGGCCTCGGGAGGCTCCAGGACAGGTTGGACGGCGCTCCCATCCACGTGATCCAGGGAGATGCCCATGTCCACGGCTGGGAGTTGGGATGGATGGGCTTTTAAAGGTCCCTTCCAACCCAAACCAACCCAGGAGTCTGTCGGGTGCTCACTCTGCAACGCAGTGATTGACATTCCCGGGATGGTCGGTGAAGGTGGTGCCAGCAGGACAGGTCATGTCACCTGCATCTGCTGGACAGAATGAAAGAACCAGAATCATGGAATCCCACACTGGTTTGAGTTGGAGGGACCTTAAAGATCATCCAGACCCACTCCTGCATGGGCAGGGACACCTCCCACCAGCCCAGGCTGCTCCAAGCCCCATCCAACCTGCCCTTCAACACCCCCAGGGATGGGGCAGCCACAGCTTCCCTGGGCAACCTGGGCCAGGCTCTCACCACCCTCACAGCAAAGAATTCCCTCCTCATGTCTCACCTCACCCTCCCTGTCCCAGTTTTCATCCATCCCCCTCATCCCATCCCTCCCTGCCCTTGTCCCAAGTCCCTCCCCAGCTTTCCTGGAGCCCCTTCAGGCACTGGAAGCTGCTCTCAGGGCTCCTGGAGCCTTCTCTTCTCCAGGCTGAACACCCCAACTCTCCCAGCCTGTCCCCAGAGCAGAGCTGCTCCAGCCCTCCCAGCATCTCCGGGGCCTCCTCTGGAGACTACACCAGCTCCGTGTCCTTCTTGTGTTGGGGACCTCAGGACCCATCACTGCATGGGGGAGTCTCTACAAGTCAGGTCATCTCTAGGTCCAGGTGACCAGCGCACATGGAGATGCAGATACCAAGGAGGAAGTTCCTGCATCTAGGAATCCCTTATGAAATAGCAGTTCCAGCTCTTGGACAGTCATCACTACCTTCTCTGAACCCTGCCGAGCTGTCCCACTCAGTCTTTAATTTTCATAGAACAACTCTGATTCCAAAGGCTTGTTCACAAGTGGTCATGGTCAGCTCAAGGTATTGTGCAAATAGGTTTGTTTTCTTAATAATCCTGTTTTTTCTCCTCACTTCGGGATACACAAGATTCCCTACA